GTTGTTTAGAGGAAGAGTATTTAAGCGTTTCTGCGTGTAGGGATGGACATTAAGGGTGATTTAAGCATGACGCCGATAGATATTGACCGACGAAAACCCGGATTGAGATAGCTGAAGGAGCGCCCTTTCTGACTGTGATAACAGTTTTTTAAAATTCGGTTTCGTAACAATTGCACAAGGCCTTGAAGTTTGGTAATTTTGAGCTATTTTAAGTACAGCGCGGTGTTCTTCATTTTTTATTGATCTTAACATCAACTTATCGGCAGACGAAAACCCGATTTTAGATAGAGAAAGATTCAAGCTTTCAAGTGGTGCATTTAGTTTTTCGCTATCCCTAATTATAAGGAAGATATCAGCCAAGAAAGTAGATAGGAAATTACGGGTAAAAGTTTGTTGCTGGGAGGTTTGTTGCTATTGTCGCACGAGTGTTTAAATTAAAGAACTTTCCGCCGAAATTTAGTTTGATATAAGCGACTTTGAGGCCTCTCCGAAAACTGAAATCCAGTTTAACAGTAATGGGTTAGTGCTCTCCTGGAGTGCCCCCAAAATTCCTTTAAATAAAACAGATTCCGCTACGACGGTGACTTTAAATAAATTACTCTGCAGCGAAGAGGTCTCTCTGCAGAGGGAGTAATTAAGTTTCGAAAATCTTCGTGAATGTTTCAACTCGGTAATGAGACGACTCGTTTCAATTCTTTCAAATTTTCAATGAAACATTTTTTTTTTTACAAAATATGTAGTGTGGAATAAAATCGTTCAACTAAAAATAATTTAAATATGCGGAAATGACCCGGGAAAATGACTCTTTTATCTCTCACATGATAAAATTGGCAATTTTACATTTTAAATTGTTAAATTGTTGATTTTTACCGTCGAGTTGAAGCGACATCCCCACGTTCTACAGCAAGAAGAAACTTTTTCTCATCCAAAGAGAGCTGAGCAATCTCCTGGTGTGGTCTGATGACGTTTTCCTCCTCCATCATCCCATGGATGCTGTGCCTCTGAAACGAAAAACCAAAGTAAGAAAATAGAGGTGGAAACCGATGGCTCGAGGGTAAAAAAAAAGTAAATTAAGGGCTTGACGTGGCGGAGGTCATGGAAAAAGGAGTCCTTATCCTGCCTTGCAGCGACGTTGATTTATTGGAAGCTTAAAGGTTGGCAAAGGGTTAACTTATTAATCTTAGTATTGGTTAAACTAAAAAAAAATTTGTACAACTTTAAAGTAAAAACTTGATTTATGAAAACAGTGAATCAATAATTTTCATAAAAGTTACATCAACACTAAGTGATTGCAATAACATGAATATTATCTTAAAATTTACCGTTGAAATTAAAATATATAAGAAACCGAATATCGATAAAATTGCCGACTACGAAACCACACGTTTGTTTTCATTCAAAATGTTATTTCCAATTTCTTGGAATTCGGGGCTGTTCATCTTACGAATAAAGTGGATAGAGCAGACTTTCAGTATCCCACTGCAATATTTATTTAAGAACACTGTATTCCTCGAGGAAAATATTTCACTGTAGAAACTTCCTTATTTGCCGCAAATGCAAGATTTTACTTTAAAAATAAGATTTTTAAAAAAATATTTTATTTATAGAAAAATATCGATTGCAAGTTATCGTTTCGAAGAATAATAACTTGAACGTTATTACAGGAAAACACAGTTGACAACAGAGTTGTTTCTGCCAAACACGTGGGAAAAGGGTATAAATACTATTCGAAGGGTTTCTCACTCAAGGTATGTTCGCATTATCAAGATTGAGTGCAAACAATCGTAGAGAACCTCCTTCACTTCCTACTTATTCGACAGGAAATCTATACGAAACCGGCAACTATGACAGGTGAACCAGTTCTATTTCGAGACAATATGTCTTTTCGTACTGGTGCAAAAATGATACCTGAGTGTTTCATCCACTTCTTTTATAAAATATACAAACTGAGAGTAGGTCTTCGAGGCGGGCTAGAAACGAGGTTGCAAACAATTTATGTAAATTGATACCTGTCCGTGGTGAAGGACTTGGAAAACATAAATGGGAACAAATGTTTACCAGGAAATTTACATTTTGTTGAAGAGAGGTTAATGAAAATGTAAATATGAATAAAAAGTATCTTGTTTTTAAATCTTAATTTTTATATTTCGTAATTCTACTCCTAAATAAAACATATTCATAAGAATATATCAATCAATTATTATTTATACCATTGTTTACACCTTTAAGGAAAGATTCGGGTCTTTAAAGCCGATTTGATTCATCTGGTTTGGTCTTAACTGATTATAATGTTCCGTTTTTGCTCTTGATCTCTGATGTGTAAGGCGTTGACATACACAAGTTTATTTCTTTTGATTTCGCGAATTATCAAATTTGCCACACATCGAAGAAGAATTTCAGTTCTATTAATGATGCCTTGATATCTTTCTTCACTTTTACACAGATCAAGTTATCAATACTATTTACTGATTCATCACAAAATAAAGTATCCAAACGCCTGTTGCCTTATTCCTGACAGCAAGTTGCAAGCTGAACTGACCCAACGTCAAGTGAATCAGAAGATGCTAAACATGTAGAAGAGTACTCCCTCAATCTGCTAACACTTCGCCTCAGATGAATCAAAAGGAACTAGACGATTTGATTCGAGATCTAAAACTTTCGAAAGTGTAAGCTAAACTATTGGGGTTAAGACTGCAAAAATTGAACGATCTAGCTCCAGGGACAAAAATTTCTTGTTTTAGATCAAGAGGTACTTCCTTCACTCAATATTTTGACCATTCACAGGAATTAGTATCTCTTTTAGGTGTTGGACAATGTAGATAATAACCAATTTCAAACCCAAGAGGACTTTTTTCATTGAATATAACCTTATTTATATCAGGTTTGTGATTAACAACCTCATTGTAACAATCCCAATACGATATATAAAATCTCTTGTTGCAGTTTCAGTTTAAATAAAGTATCCTCTTTTTAATGCAAAAAGCCGATTTGAAAAATCACTTTTAGTTCTTGAGATATAAATTTTTTAAATGATCGAGAATTTTTTTGAATTTTGCAATTTTCGCCCATTAAGTTTTAAAAATTCGTATAAAATCCAGTTCTTGGAATATGAGTATGAAAATTTCCCAAAGTGTTAATAAAAGTGTCCTCTTTCCAATGAACCAACCCGTTTTGAAAAATAACTTTTAGTTTTTGAGAAAACAATATTTGAAGTTTTGATAAAATTTTCGATGTTGCAATTTTCATCGATAATTTTCAAAATTCGCTATAAAATTAATTTCTTGAAGGATCCTTGTGGAAATATCACCAATTATTAATTAAAGTATCCTCTTTTTAATGCAAAAAGCCGTTTTGAAAAATCACTTTTAGTTCTTGAGAAATAAATTTTTGAAATGATCGACAATTTTTTCGAATTTTGCAATTTTCGCCGATTAAGTTTTAAAAATTCGTATAAAATCCATTTCTTGGAATATGAGTATGAAAATTTCCCAAAGTGTTAATAAAAGTGTCCTCTTTCCAATGAACCAACCCGTTTTGAAAAATAACTTTTAGTTTTTGAGAAAACAATATTTGAAGTTTTGATAAAATTTTCGATGTTGCAATTTTCATCGATAATTTTCAAAATTCGCTATAAAATTAATTTCTTGAAGGATCCTTGTGGAAATATCACCAATTATTAATTAAAGTATCCTCTTTTTAATGCAAAAAGCCGTTTTGAAAAATCACTTTTAGTTCTTGAGAAATAAATTTTTGAAATGATCGACAATTTTTTCGAATTTTGCAATTTTCGCCGATTAAGTTTTAAAAATTCGTATAAAATCCATTTCTTGGAATATGAGTATGAAAATTTCCCAAAGTGTTAATAAAAGTGTCCTCTTTCCAATGAACCAACCCGTTTTGAAAAATAACTTTTAGTTTTTGAGAAAACAATATTTGAAGTTTTGATAAAATTTTCGATGTTGCAATTTTCATCGATAATTTTCAAAATTCGCTATAAAATTAATTTCTTGAAGGATCCTTGTGGAAATATCACCAATTATTAATTAAAGTATCCTCTTTTTAATGCAACAAGCCGTTTTGAAAAATCGCTTTTAGTTTTTGAGAAATAAATTTTTGAAATGATCGACAATTTTTTCGAATTTTGCAATTTTCGCCGATTAAGTTTTAAAAATTCGTATAAAATCCATTTCTTGGAATATGAGTATGAAAATTTCCCAAAGTGTTAATAAAAGTGTCCTCTTTCCAATGAACCAACCCGTTTTGAAAAATAACTTTTAGTTTTTGAGAAAACAATATTTGAAATTTTTAGATAAAATTTTCGATGTTGCAATTTTCATCGATAATTTTCAAAATTCGCTATAAAATTCATTTCTTGAAGACTCCTTGTGGAAATATCACCAATTATTAATTAAAGTATCCTCTTTTTAGAGTTGCTTCATGAGTTAAATCAGCATCAAAAAAGTTCAATTTGTAGCTTGGATCCAAATAAGTTGACATATCTTATCAGCTTTCTTATTAATTTCATTTTTATTCAAATATCGCAATAATGTGGCAATGTAGGGTATCACTTCAGAAATGCACCCGCAGTTATAACCATAATGGCCGTATAACCGGATATCCGGCTTTTCCTCCTATGTATTTAGGAAATGTGATGTGTTAAACAAAAACTGATTTTTCCAGTGAACTCAGCATCCCAAAATTAATGAAATCCACCCATTTACAAAGCAGATGCAGAATAAAAGTATAAATTTGTTGAGTAGTGTTATTAACAATATTAATTTAAGAGTTAATATGAAAGTTTCTGAAAACGTGAGTAGATAAAACTTAACGATTAAAAAAACATTTTCGAAAACAATCCAAGTAATGTGCAATTTTATACGATAAGGGTTTTCGCAATTAGGAACAACGTGGCCCTGAAGACAGGAAATACGTACTCGAACTCTCTTCCAATTTCAACACCAAAATAGGTTCTGACTTCGAGTGGTACAAACGGGAGAAGGTTCATTTACTCGAGAACTCCGCAATGTGACCCTTAGGTATAACGGAAGTTACATATACTCACCATTCAACGAGGACCCACGTCGTCGATGACAAGCACTCCCGCGACACTCCATAGACACATACAGAAACTAAGTTCTTTTCAGGTGTGAGAAAAGTTTCGGGTTTGATAGAGATAAGAGCGAAACTGTGTCGTCTTTAAGTTGATGTATTTTAACTGGGCAAACGAAACTCGATCGAGTAAGTGCTCACATCCTAAAGGGAGTATGGTGATTACGTAAAGTTTTCGTCAGGCGAGCACGAAAGCTCAATCTATTATACTCTATATTTATTAAGAATTTTATGGATAAAAAGAGGCAGATTATTTATGAAAGGATTTTTTAGCAAGCTGTCATCTGCAACTGCGGCGTCGCGTCGATGGTTGAAGATTGATCACACCCTTGAGAGAAAACGAAGCGAGATATGAAACCCTTTTTTGATAATCTTTCATAATGGAAATTATCGAGATACCACATTTAATTTTGATATAAATAACAAATCTTAAGATATAAAAAAAGCTTAAAAGCAATAAGTATTTAAATTTTTTTCAACTCCCATGATGATATTTTTATGACACTGCTTTATTCGATTAAATTTTTTATGGACTACTCCCAAGAGAAAAATTTTATACTCCTTTTCCATTACAATAACAAAATAATCATAAAAACAACTTTTTAATTTTATTCAATAAATTATTTCCAAAATTTGTTAACCAAAGTTTAGTTTACGAACATCCCACGTTCAAATGAAGGTTTTCGGAAGATATTTGTCCCTCGAATTAACATTCAAACCAGAGCTTCCAGTACGTGACGAAGATAGACGCAGGAATATTACAAATGAGCGAGGCAATGATTAGATTCGCCGAACCGAATGGAAACCTAGAACCTGGATGAAAGGTTAGAAACGAAGGAATGCCAAAATTCCAATAAATCTCATTTTTTATAAGAGACCAATAACTTTTTTATCTTACAATAAAAACGTATCTTAATTCTCTTAAAAGCTCGTAATCCGATACCTTAACGCGTATTAAAAAAAAGCAACCACACCTACCATTAAGTAGATCGATCGATTACGAATAAAAAAGACTTTACCTTTACTTTCTTGTCTACGCATGGCTTTTCCGGTACGCTAAGAGCCAGCATTAGATCCGGTTTTGGCATGTCGATGTAAGTATCGTTTCCGGTTAAACTAACTCTTGGAACGGCGTTTACTTTTTGCGACGTCGTCTCTTCCTCATCTTCTGCTGTACTTTCTGAAAGAATAAAAAAAAGTTTAATTTAAATAATGGGGTTAATACGGACAGTGTCAGGGTTTGAGGTCACAAGTTCCGGGATGGTTTAAATCTAGAACATCCGTTATGTAAATGTAGATGTCGCAACACTTTCCGGTTATGTACAAGTTATTATTAAAGCTTTGTTTTGTGTATATGTTAAAAGAAATTTGAATATTAAACGTTACGAATTGAAAATGTTTGAAACCGATATTTCTAGTGAGAGAGAAGGAGTTTCGATCGAATCGGAAGATTTTAATTTATGCATTTGCCATTACGCCTTTCCAATTCGAGAACTCGAGCTTGCGATAAATAAACGGGGCCGGAGTACAATCAAACCTACTTCCGTTGTATAAACAATGTTGAACGTGGTAAAGGCGTCATACATCGTTGCTTTTCGTGGTTATTTACCGTACTTCGTTAATTGGGGTGAGTTCACTTTATCAATTCGAAATGTTGTTACCATTAAAAAATTATTAATAGATTTTGTTTTGGGTACTTTCAAGAATTAATCCTATTTAGTGACCCGGTTTTATAAGTAAACTTTGTTCATTTTGTTTTAGTTTCAATATATTTTTTTCAAACACGAAAAGACTTTGTTGCTGTAAAATGGTGGAAAACAGGGTTAAAAGGGGCAATATATCACAGCAAATTTCAGGGACTAACACGAGGATTTTTCAAGTCTGAAGTAGGAGAGCAAAAAATTTGCAAACGCAAGCGCATTACTTCGGTTTTTTACTAGTTACATTGTTATCGAGAGCGGTTACAACCCATTTACATGAAATTCTTTTCATTTTGTTGTATAAAAAATTGATCGTTTATCAAGTTTTAGGTTAAACTACTTCATTAAATTTAATTAAGTCCAAATTACAAGCATTATGTAGTTGTGTTACAATGTTAACTAGGGTATTAATTTTCCTCTAATTACAGGTGCGCCACGATTTTCATAAGAAAGGGCTATAATTCTCAATAACCGGTTGTAATTACCAAAAACAAATAGTGCGGAACGTGTTCTATAACATACAATGATAATTATCGTATAGATTTTACTAATTATACTATAAATTCACAAAATTTATCTCTTAACATTTCCAAACTCAAATAATTATTCACACGAAATGTTAAATATATTTTTCTTCCTAATTTATTGGATGATATCTACTAGTGATTTTTGCGAAAAGCCTATACTGGATATTCGACATCCCCTTCTAACTAAAAAACTAACGAAACAACTCTAAAAAGAGGATACTATAATTAATAATTGGTGATATTTCCACAAGAATCCTTCAAGAAATCAATTTTATAACGAATTTTGAAAGTTATCGATGAAAATTGCAACATCGAAAATTTTATCAAAACATCAAATATTGTTTTCTCAAAAACTAAAAGGTATTTTTCAAAATGGGTTGCTTCATTGGAAAGACAACACATTTATTAAAATTTTGGGAAATTTTCATACTCATATTCCAAGAATTGGATTTTATACGAATTTTTAAAACTTAATCGGCGAAAATTGCAAAATTAAAAAAAATTTTCGATCATTTCAAAAATTTATATCTCAAAAACTAAAAGCGATTTTTCAAAACGGCTTGTTGTATTAAAAAGAGGATACTACAATTAATAATTGGTGATATTTCCACAAGGATCCTTCAAGAAATTAATTTTATAACGAATTTTGAATGTTATCGATGAAAATTGCAACATCGAAAATTTTATCAAAACTTCAAATATTGTTTTCTCAAAAACTAAAAGGTATTTAGCAAAATGAGTTGGTTTGTTGGAAAGAAGACACTTTTATTAACACTTTGGAAAATTTTCATACTCATATTCCAAGAACTGGATTTTATACGAATTTTTAAAACTTAAACGGCGAAAATTGCAAAATTCATACAAATTGTTGATCATTTCAAAAATATTTATTTCTCAAGAACTAAAAGTGATTTTTCAAAACGCCTTTTTGCATTAAAAAGAGGATACTTTAATTAATAATTGGTGATATTTCCACAGGGATCCTTCAAGAAATAAATTTTATAGCAAATTTTGAATGTTATCGATGAAAATTGGAACATCGAAAATTTTATCAAAACTTCAAATATTGTTTTCTCAAAAATTAAAAGGTATTTTTCAAACTGTATTGGATCATTGGAAAGAAGACACTTTTGTTAACACTTTGGGAAATTTTCATACTCATATTCCCAGAACTGGATTTTATACGAATTTTTAAAACTTAATCGGCGAAAATTACAAATTCGAAAAAATTTTCGATCATTTCAAAAATGTATATCTCAAAAACTAAAAGCGATTTTTCAAAACGCCCTTTTGCATTAAAAAGAGAATACTTTCATTAATAATTGAAAGTGATAACAGCCACAGTTCTGCAATTAATGAATGTGATGATGAATTACAAGCGAAGAGAAGAAAGCTAGACGAAACTGCAACAAGAGATTTTATATATCGTATTGGGATTGTAAATAAAGTTGTATTTAATGAAAAAAGTGCTATTGGGGCTTGAACTTGATTGGTCAACGCCGGATATGTGGTAATTATCCGGTATCCGGCCGGATTTTAAAGAATTGCCGGATATTCGTTCCACCGCTAATATCTACCAATATCACTAAAAAAATGATCTTTCCTTCATCTAAAACCAGTTTTGACTTTTTTTGACATGTGTAGCTAACTAATGCCATGAAACACCCTGCACCTTGCAAGAATTCTTCAGAAGATTCCACGATGGTAGTCAGTAGATGAATGTTACTCATTAATTCTCTTCCTCGTGCATCATATATGATATCACCAACTCATGCTTTAGTCGTTTAATACATATCTGCTATATTTTTAAAAACAAGTTTTAGTAAACCAATTTCATCAGCCATTCTATGGCAGATTGTATCATATATTATATGTATAATCCCTAACATTCCTCAACACAGTTCTGGCCTCGTCCAAGATCATATCTGTTATCTATCAACATCATCTTTGATATCACTAAACATCATCCGTGATATCTCTCAACATCTTAATTGATATCCTCCAATATCCTTATTAGCATCACTATACATTGTCCCTGATATATCTCAATGTGTTTCATGACATCTCTCAATGATCTTGGTTTTGGTCTCCTTCAACACCTTCCACATCATTTAATAAAATTAGCCTTGATATCTCAAAAAATCGCCCTTAATAGTCTCCAACATTGTTCCTAGCCTTCCTCGACAAGTCTTAACATCGTCCATGACACAGTTCAAACCTCCCTCAAATTCTTTGTCATCATCTATAAATATTGTTCTTGATATCATGAAATCATCACAATATTGCTCACAATACGGCACGTCTTGAGCTTATTTGTACATCCAATCTTATCTTTTAAGTTCCAATTCAATCGAGTCAAATTTTTGCTTAGATTTTTTTGGTGGCACAAGATCTGCATCACGCCAAAAGCGTTGTCAGAACGGATGAGTTGAATGAGTTTTAGCAAAACCGCATATTATGTTTTTTTCTAATCTTATTGAAAGAAAAAGTACGGTTGTTGAGTCCACCATATCACAAACTATGCTAATATACTTAAAACAAGTATACTGTTATCGTGAACATCATCCCTGATATCCTCTAACATCCTCTTTGGCATCACTATACATTGTCTCTGATATATCTCAATGTATTTTATAGCGATATGTCGAAATATCGTCCTTAATATTCTCCAACATTGTCCTTAACCTTCCTCGACAACTTTTAACATCGTCCATAACACAATTCAAGCCTCCCTCAAAATCTTTATAATCATCCATAAACATCATTCTTGATATTATGAAATCATTATAATGTTGTTCTCAATATGGCAAGTATTGAGCTTATTTCTACATCCAATGTTATTTTTTAAATTCCAATTCAATTTTTGCATTGTTTTTTTTGATTTTGCACAAGATCTGCATCACGCCAAAAGCGTTGTCAGAACGGATGAGTTGCATGAGTTTTAGCAAAACCACATATTACGCTTTTTTTTAATCCTATTGAAACAGAAAGTAAAGCTGAGTCAATCATATCACAAATTATGCAAATATACTAAAAACAAGTACACTGTCAATATCCTACCTGATATCCTCCAATCTCAGTATGTTTTATGGCATCTCTCAATGATGTTCTGGAAATTAACCTTGATATCTCAGAACATCGTCCTTAATATTCTCCAAAATTATTCCTAACCTTCCTCGACAAGTCTTAACATCGTCCATGGCATAGTTCAGGACTCCCTCAAAATCTTTGTCATCATCTATGAATATCGTTCTTGAAATCATGAAATTTGGTGGCAAAAGGCTTTCATTAAGGGCGTAGAGACATAAACGTCCAGAAAGAGGGAAAGTCTGTCTAGATAATTATCAGACAAAATTACTTAGTAAAAATCAATATAGCAGAATCAGAGAAATGATATTTTGCAACCATGCGCATTCCTCTCAACACACCATATTTCATGGTTAAAGCGTTGTCAAAACGGAGTTGAATGAGTTTTAGCAAAATCACATATTAGATTTTTTTTTAAATCTTATTAAAAGAGAAAATACACCATATCACAAACTATGCCGATGTGGTAAAATGAAATATACTGTTATCGTAAGCTTCTTCTTCTTATTGGAGATCTGTCGATCTGCTAATTCCGTGTCACGCCATCTCTTTGAAGCATAATTTATTATTTACAAGCACAATTTTCGGAAGTCTATCATCGCTCATGCGACTTACATGATTATCTTTTCCGCTATCTTCCCCATCTCGCTATGTCTAGAACGTTGCATTGATCTCTAATATCCGAATTTCTCACTTTGTACATTCTCGTTTTCCGTGCAATTGATCTTAGTGTCTTCATCTCGATCACTCGTAGCATGCTCTTGGTATTATTTATTTCTGCCCTCACTTCTATTCCGTATGTCATTATCGGTCTTATTGTATATCCGAATTTTGCTGTCTGTTCAGATTGTGTCTCTTAAGCATCATTTGAGCATAATTTGGTTCCTCAATTCTTTCACTGCATCGTAACCACAAGATGTGTACGCCTGAATAGTTAAATTTCATGACTTGTTCTATTGACTTATCATCGAGTTTACATCTGATCGTATCTTTTGCATATTAAGCTTGCGGCTTACTTGAAGGAAGTGGTCTGTTTCTGCGACTATTGGTGCATTATTGTAAGCAAACTGATTTAAATTGCGTTGGAGTATAATTCCGATACGAGTTGTGTTTTCTCTTCCTTGGAAGATTAGGATGAGTATAAAAATCGATCGAAACGAGGGTGTTTATCGCCTCGTAAAAGCTTATCAAAACGTGAACATTGCTGTAGTTAAACTTGGTTATCGACGTCGTTTCTCTGAAAAGTTTTATCTCTAATTGAATAAATATTTGAATTCTCTGAAATTTTATTTCTTAACACAAAAGTTATATTGGTTATTTTTAATTGTGTTTATCAAAGGTGTAAATTTTGAATCTAAGCAGGTTTTAATATAAACTTTCAAAAGCTACGTAATACAACAATACTCGAAATGAGTCATTCATGTTTGTATCGTTCGATGAATGAATAAAAATAAATAATTTATGTAATTGGACAGATTTAACCTTGAATTTATAAAAAAAATTTCTTTCACACCAGGAGGTTGAACCATTTTAACGATTTTTCGAGCATCAAAGCCTGTTTGTTAGTTACACAGGAAACATGTGCAAAAAGTTCATGGTTTAAGTGGTAAAATTTTACAGTTATCGTTTCAGCACCTACTCAAAAACCCAACTCTCGGTTATTGTTAGCATAAATTTCCGGTTTACACCGATTGAAATCGTTTGATCTATTCAAAACATTATTTGAAACCAATCAACGATAAGATTATTACGTTGGGTTGTTGACAACAAAATATTAATTAATAACTCGAGACAACCAACTTTCCTTTAAAAAAAAAAAAAATAAACAACTATACAAGAAATGCTAAACAAATTTACAAAATTCTCATTCGGTTCGGAGTAAAAGCAAATTTCGAATGTCAACACTTCTTTTAAATTTCTGATGTAAACCATAAACACATGTTGCGAAGTTTGTCTTCAAAATAAATTTTTCTTTCAACTCGGTGGAAAGCATACAAAAGCAAAATGTTTGTGGAAAGAATAATAAGCGAAAGTCTCATAATCGACTTACTCTTTAAGTTGAACCATTTGAGCATTGCGGTTGTAATAAGAAGAACATAAGTAACGAGGTAAAACGAAGACGATTTTTGAGGTCACATTCGACGAAGTTCGCGGAAAATTGGATCACGCGTTCTAAACATCACCGAATCGCGAGCGGACTACCGAGTGTAAAGCACGGGTCTCGTGTCCTGTTTATGTTTAACATTCATATCGAACGAAAATATACAATGCCTAAAAGCGGAGGAGCTAAATTTAAAAGGTACAATTAAAAAACATTGATATGCAAACTGGTTTTTTTAACACAAAATTGAAACAATTATCCTGAAAACTATTTTGTCAGAAAAATACAACCAGACGAAGAGAAATTTCCTATACCTAGAAAGCCAGATATAGTAAATCAACCGATTCTCCACATGAGCGAATTTTCCTGTTAATACAAAGCTCCTAGTATTGATATAGTTCGAGTGGACCACTGTGTTTGCGGCATCGGAATCGACGTAATCGTGAGTTTTCCCTCTTGCAATACCCTACAATCTCCCTCAAATTGATGGTCTCTTTCCTACTGCCCTGTAATTGAGATTTGGAATGACAAATAAATCGGATAAACAACAATAGTTCTCTCTCATTTTGCATGCAAATTAATACCAGATCTACCAATTAAATCTATTTACTAATTTGAGGCATTAAATAAATTTTTTGAAAAAGTGAAATAAATGCAAAAGTCAACTAACCGACGGAACATTGCAACGAACAGGTCTCGTAGTAGTAATTTGTATAACGTAGAGTTAGAACTCGTTACTCCAACTACACTATGCGCATAATATGTAAATTTAGTAATGCTTACAACGACCTATTGTTGCATTTAACAACGATGCGTTCCTCATACAAATCACAAGCTTCGTAAATAATTACTACACATTTTTTGAAAAAGAAAAAAGATTTTATCAATGAACAAAGGCGCCATTCAAGGTTCTTTTGTTGAAATACTGCCAGACGTCGGCTGTTGTTGGTGCGATGCAATTCCGCATGCCTACTTCGCTTTCATTATGGAGAAGACGTCGATGTAGAGACATTCTCAATGGAACCGTCGTCTACGTAGACGACAACACCCTTGGCGCCAGTCCATTGATTCCGGCTGGACCCGGAGGGCGTGGGAGATCCATGCACCAAGGAAATCGAAAGTTTCGTCTGGGGTGCACTTCAATTCGAAATATGATAGTTTTTTTTTAGTGCATGAACAATTTCCAGGACATTCATCTTAAATCGACATGTTTTTAAGCTTTACTAAAAAGAAAATAAGAAAATAATTTATAGGTTTTACATTTCCAATATTGTAAAGTACAGTAAAAACGAGGTCCATTATGTTATATTCCTTTTTGGCAAAGATATAAAACAAACGCTTAAACTAAGTAAATTTTCATTCATATTCATGCATTTTCGCTGATTATTTAAATCGGACAGACGACGCGACGCCCAGTTTCCACGTATTGTGTATTGCCTTTTCCTCTGGCCGGAGGGTGACGGTTTATGTAAAATATCCATCGTGGTGCTCGAAAATTTGCATGGCCAACGATTAACGTTCCTGCTGAATGAGGAAAAATTTAGAACAACGAAAACGTATTTAGAGAGTTTAATTGGAACGTTGGGTAAGAAAACAACTACTTCCAAAACTACGACGAAACCGAGTTATTTATTCTGTGGAAATTCGCAAAGTTGTATTAGGTACCCCCAGGAAAATGTCGCAATGACCTTTATTACTGCAACGAAAAGTTTTGTAATAATGCCGAAATTACTAAAATTTCAATCTATTAAATTAACGTTTACATTTTTATAGTTTAATTTGAACCATACTGATTTTTGAGTGTAGAACAAAGTCTGTGAAAATTTTAAAGTACTCGCCAGTCTCTATCCTTGTGGAAATATCACCAATTATTAATTGAAGTATCCTCCTTTTAATGCAACAAGCCGTTTTGAAAAATCGCTTTTATTTCCTGAGAAATAAATTTTTGAAATAATCGATAATTTTTTCGAATTTTGCAATTTTCGCCGATTAAGTTTTAAAAATTCGTATAAAATCCATTTCTTGGAATATGAGTATGAAAATTTCCCAAAGTGTTAATAAAAGTGTCCCCTTTCCAATGAACCAACCCGTTTTGAAAAATTACTTTTAGTTTTTGAGAAAACAATATTTGAAGTTTTGATAAAATTTTCGATGTTGCAATTTTCATCGATAATTTTCAAAATTCGCTATAAAATTAATTTCTTGAAGGATCCTTGTGGAAATATCACCAATTATTAATTAAAGTATCCTCTTTTTAATGCAAAAAGCCGTTTTGAAAAATCACTTTTAGTTCTTGAGAAATAAATTTTTGAAATGATCGACAATTTTTTCGAATTTTGCAATTTTCGCCGATTAAGTTTTAAAAATTCGTATAAAATCCATTTCTTGGAATATGAGTATGAAAATTTCCCAAAGTGTTAATAAAAGTGTCCCCTTTCCAATGAACCAACCCGTTTTGAAAAATTACTTTTAGTTTTTGAGAAAACAATATTTAAAATTTTGATAAAATTTTCGATTTTGCAATTTTCATCGATAATTTTCAAAATTCGCTATACGATTAACTTCTTGAAGCATCCTTGTGGAAATATCGCCAATTATTAATTAAAGTATCCTCTTTTTAATGCAAAAAGCCGTTTTGAAAAATCACTTTTAGTTCCTGAGAAATAAATTATTGAAATAATCGAAAATTTTTTCGAATTTTTCAATTGTTGCCGATTAAGTTTTAAAAATTCGTATAAAATCCATTTCTTGGAATGTGAGTATGAAAATTTTCCAAAGTGTTAATAAAAGTGTCCTCTTTCTAATGAACCAATCCGTTTTGAAAAATAACTTTTAGTTTTTGGGAAAACTATATTTGAAGTTTTGATAAAATTTTCGATGTTGCAATTTTCATCGATAATATTCAAAATTTGCTATAAAATTAATTTCTTGAAGGATCCTTGTGGAAATATCACCAATTATTAATTAAAGCATCCTCTTTTTAAATCCGACTTGAAAAATCGCTTTTAGCTTTTGAGAAATAAATTTCGACAACTTTTTTTTTATTTCTCAAAAACTAAAAGCGATTTTTCAAAACGGCTCAGATTCAGATGGCCCTGAATCTGACCTTACTAAGAATAGCAATATGGTTATAAGAGATAAGAAATGTTTTCAAAATAATAAATAATGCTTTATTATTCCGAATTTAGAAGGTACACATTAACAAGTCGTAATTTTCTTAAAAATATATGTTGGTAACATATTTAGATATGATAAACATTCAATGAATTAATTCGATTTTTTTAATAAAAAAAATTATTTCCCAAATACCACAAATTCTGTTGATTCTTCCATTTTTTTGGAATTTTAACGGGATCTGCAATAACCGTAACGCAAAAATTATTTTTTATTCCCTGTCCTGTAACAGCTATGTCCGCCGTAGAATTATCTGCAGTAAACGTATGTACCTGCAGTTTATTACCAGTGAAATCTCCATAAACGCTAATGTTAGAAACGCAAGGAATAGCCACCGTTTCACTTAACATTACCCCATTATGGCAATTAAGACCAGAAGCGTTTACGCACGGAATGGAAATGGTTGTATTTAAACATGGTAAATGAGTAACAGAGCTTGCGACACAATTCGAAGTGGCTGATATTGGGGCTATGCAATAAATCGTTCCATTAGTCCTACAAAGAGGCGTTGTATTTGGTGTACAAAAATTTGTGTCATTTCCACATTGTTTTATTACATTTTCTTTTACTTCGATTGTTTGGGGAATTGGTTTTTTTCCGTGATGGTAATGATGAACTACTGAATATTGTGGAAAACCAGTTCCATATCTAGATCCTCCATTATTATAACCTGGATTATTTAAAAAAGGGTTATTATAACCCGAATTATATCCTCCAATTAGTTGATTTAATCCACTTGTATAAGTTCCCAATTTATAACCAAGGTACATTCCTAAAGCTGAACCTCCTAATCCAGCGATAACAGAATTCCTTACACGATGATTTTTGTACTTTCCAACTGGTTGATATAAATTCGGATATTTCGAATATGATGGCGTGTAGTATGGTGAATAACTATTATAGGAATTGTAATAATTGGGGCGACCTCCATATCCGCCTCCATATGCATCTTCATAACCGTGTTGATTATTATAATTATTATTATAATTTAAGTTGTTGTAAGTAGTTCTTGGTGTAGTTCTAGTTGGGCTTCGATCCGGAAGCTTAGGCAATCCTCGATTTTGCGATGGATAACCGTGTTGATTATTATAATTATCATTATAATTTAAGTTGTTGTAAGTAGTTCTTGGTGTAGTTCTAGTTGGGCTTCGATGCGGAAGATTAGGCAATCCTCGATTTTCATAAACAGGCGGAAAAGTTTGCACAACAGAGCTCGGCGTAGGTAGTGCTAGAACAAATGGTCTTTGAGTAGGCCAATAAGAACTTTCTGTGGGCGATGCATAACTTCTTATAGGTGTTGGAAAACGTGGAGGGCGAGTATCATCACTTCTTAAATAAAATGGGTTAGGTGTGACCATTTGTGACGAAGAATAGCTATTCCAATTAGAAGAACTTGATTTAGATCCCCAATTACCAAAAGAAACTCTTGAACCACCAGTTCGGAAACCCCCTCTTCGAAAACCCCAGCGACCCGCTACGATTGATACGAGGCACGCGAAAATAATAAAACGTTTTGTAGACATCATCTTCCGAAGAAAACGGGACTCGTAATGAACTTAATTGGTGCGGATCGTGTGCTAAGTAGCAGAGGTCAAAATATCAAGAAGTTCGTCACGATTATCGAGATTGAGTTGAGAATTACTGTCTGTTGTTAATGTTCTTTGGATTAATAACAAACATTTACGCAATATTAAACACACAATAAATGTGTTTTTTTATTTATTTATTGTTATTTTACATTAAATAGTATAAGATAGCTTATAGTTACTCCCAATACATTAATTAGCTTTAAATAACCGCTAAATATTTTGTAAATTCTCCAAATACTTCTGTATGATTTGTAGCAGTCGCTCCAACTCTCTTTATCACATGAAAAATTTAGTACTCATCAATGTAGTACTCAGTATAGAGTTGTTTAATCCTGACCTCTCAAACAATGATAGGTAATGTTAGATAAAAACGCAGAATAAATGCGTTTATTCATAATATTGAGAAGAAGTTGGTCATTGACTTGGATATTCTATAGATCATCCATATTCCGAGTCATAATTTGATATATTGCAATTCTTTTCTGCGAGATTGAGCAAAGTTCATACTGTAGTGGGTTTCTACGGTAAGAGATCTAAGCATGGCCGAGATAAATATCTCAAAAAAGAATGGAAATAATTAGACACTTCAAAACTGCCTTCAACATTTTAATAGTGTACACACACACTATTGCACTACAGCCCATTGTGAGTCCTAGTGATTTTGGGCTACATTGCCCCAGTTCTGCATCTACAGGGTGACCAAATCCTCCCTAACATTGTCCATCCATCACCCTCTTGGCCTTCCTCTTAGTCGACGGCCCTCTGGTGCTTGAGTGAGTACCTCTCTCAGCCGGCATTCTCCGCCACTTCGGGTTTAATTCACGTTGTTCTTCCTGCAAAGCTCTTATCTCGTAGTTCATTAATTGTCGCGATCCTCCCAGGTTTGTATCATATTTTGGCCCATACATCCTTAGCAGCATAAGATCTTTATTTCAAATCTTGTACAGCCTTCCTTCACAACCTCTTGTTAAAAGTTTGGACTGTAGTAGTTTACCCAGCGCAAAAGCTGCTCTACTCCCTGCTAGTATTCGGGCCTTAATTTCACTATCAATGTTATTACTTTGATACAGTATTGGAAAAAAGTAGAGCAACTTTTAATTTTTCTATATTAAATTTTAAATTTATATTTTTCGTCAAGTTTTACATTTCTATTGCAATGTGTATTATGTAGTAATTGGTTAGCCGAAATTTGACAAAGATAGCTTTATTTTTATAGAAATTAAACAGAATTGCAAAAGTTAAGTTGGAAAAAAGTAGAACAACTTAATAATTTATAGGTAAATAACTGTTAAATTGAATGAAAAGCAAAGATTTTTTAGTACTTAATACAATCTCCTTTATTTTTAATGACATCGTGACACCTTCGTGTATCAAATTGTCAATGGTTTCTTTCGATTCGGTGGAGTACTAAGTAATAGGTTTTTAATATTGGTAACTATCCAATATTATTAAAAAAATGGCCAGATAGGCCGGATACTGGGAAAGATTTCTTCAGATCAAGTACAAATATATTACGATTTATGAGCTTTTTGAGCGAACAGCTAAGGAATATGCTATCTCTGTTGAAACAGTACTCGCCAGTCTCTAGTTCCCAGTTTTGATCCATCTATATGAAAATGTAAATATCTGCCAGAACCAGAGAATTTTCGTTTTTGATCGTACAATCGAGTATCGAGCATTAATCACTGGTAGTGATCCCGTCGAATCTGACAGCATTTGATAGCACAATATCAGTGCTTATAATATCTTCCACAGCCCATTGATAGGACATGTCGGAACAGTTTTGAGCATATTGCTTAAATCTGTAAATGGTACTTCTAGCCATTTTCTCTATATTCAAATGCAAAGGAGATAGGCCAAGTAGAACATCCATTGGTAGAGTTGGCATTGTGCTTATCGCACCAGAGATTGCCAATCCAGCTACTCGTTGAATTCGTGAAAGATTACTGATAACTGAAGTCTGTCGCTTTATGTATTGCCTTTACTATTCTTTTCTACTTTTCAACAACCTTGCAAAAATAAGCAAATAAACAACAACAAAAAAATATTGTGTTGTATAACTTATAAAATCATAAGAATTTTTTGTCCCTGTGTTATAATCAATAATTTCGAGACAACCACACATTATTAACAACCTTTCACATCCATAAATAACGATTCATTTAAATAATAATGGATTTGCAATTAAACGAGAATGTCGTAGGCACACAAAGTGTCTTACGAACTCCTTTGAGCAAGTGGCAATAGCGATAAAATGATTATCTCGTCTTGAACGAGACCTCCCTTTCGCCTTTGAAGCGTTGACTGAGTAAAGTGAACTCGATGTTAAGCTCGGGATCCCAACTTTTCCCACAAATTGTTATCTTTGGAAATTGCTTTGACGCGAGTTATCCGCGAATTTGCTTTGAAAACGTGGCGATAAAATGAACGTTTGAAAATCAAGGGCACCAATTTTGATTAGATCCAGGTAAGATAAATTTATGAAGATGATGTATTATATTTAGATTTTGTCGTGTCAAATTGGTTGCATAAATTTGTTGTTTTACACACAATATTTTTGTTTATGGCTTTGAATCTGACCTTACTAAGAATAGCGATATGATTATAAGAGATAAGAAATGTTTTCAAAATAATAAATAATACTTTATTATGCTCAGTATAGAAAATACACATTAACAAGTCGTAATTTTTTTTTCAAATATATATTGGTAACATTAGATAAAACATTCAATGAACTAATTCTCTAGTTTTAATAAAAAATGTACTTCACTATTTTTGAAAAGAAATCGTCAGTTTTATTATTAAAAATCGCTTTTTCCTGTGGGTTATCTTCTAAATACCACAAATACTGATGATTACTCAAATTTTCTGGAATTTTAACAGGATCTGCGATAACCGTAACGCAAAAATTATTTTTTATTCCCTGTCCTGTAACAGTTGTGTCCGCCGTAGAATTATCTGCCGTAAACGTATGCACCTGCAATTTATTACCAGTGAAATCTCCATAAACGCTAATGTTAGAAACGCAAGGAATAGCCACCGTTTCACTTAACATTACCCCATTATGGCAATTAGGATCAGAAGCGTTTACACACGGAATGGAAATGGTTGTATTTAAACATGGTAAATGAGTAAGAGAGGTTGCGTTACAATTCGAAGTAGCTGATATTGGAGCTATGCAATAAATCGTTCCATTAGTCATACAAAGAGGCGTTGTATTTGGTGTACAAAAATTTGTGTCATTTCCACATTGTTTTATTACATTTTCTTTTACTTCGATTGTTTGAGGAATTGGTTTTTCTCCATGATGGTAATGATGAACTACTGAATATTGTGGAAAACCAGTTCCAAATCCAGATCCTCCATTATTATAACCTGGATTATTATAACCAGGATTGTTATATCCAGCATTATTATAACCCGAATTATATCCTCCAATTGGTTGATTTAATCCACTTGTATAACTTCCCAATTTATAACCAAGGTACATTCCTAAAGCTGAACCTCCTAATCCAGCGATAACAGAATTCCTTACACTATGATCTTTGTACTTTCCAACTGGTTGATATAAATTCGGATATTTCGAATATGATGGCGTGTAGTATGGTGAATAACTATTATAGGAATTATAATAATTAGGGCGACCTCCATATCCGCCTCCATATCCGCCTCCATATCCACCTCCATAACCGTGTTGATAATTATAATTATTATTATAATTTAAGTTGTTGTAAGTAGTTCTTGGTGTAGTTCTAGTTGGGCTTCGATACGAAGGATTAGACGATCCTCGATTTTGCGATGGATAATTTTGAGATGGATAACTCTGTACAGGCTGAATACGTTGTGTTGAATATTGATAGACAGGCGCACGAGTTTGCACAACATATCTCGGCGTTGTTGGTTGAAAATTTGATCTTTGAGTAGGCACATAAGAACTTTTTGTGGGCGATGCATAACTTCTTACAGGAGTAGCAACATTTCTTGAATTACTCGAATAAGATGGGCCAGGTGTGGCCCTTCTTGACGAAGAATAGGTATTCCAATTAGAAGAGCTTGATCTAGATCCCCAACTACCAGAAGAAACTCTTGAACCACTAGATCGGAAACCCCCACTTCGAAAACCCCCGCGACCCGCTTCAATGGATACGAGGCACGCGAAGGCCACCACAAAAAAAATAATAAACCGTTTTGTAGACATCATCTTCCGACGAAATCGGGACTCGTAATGAAGTTAATTGGTGCGGATCGTGTGCTAAGTAGTAGAGGTCAAAATATCAAGACGTTCGTCACGATATAATTCTAGCAACCAGATAAGGATTGTGACGTCCTACGCTTTACCGAGAATTACTGTCTGTTGTTAATGTTCTTTGGATTAATAACAAACATTTACGCAATATTAAACACGCCAAAAAATGTTTTTTTTTATTTATTTATTGTTTTTTTTAATTAAATAGCATAAGATAGCTTTTATATATATACTCCCAGTACATTAACTAACTTTAAATAACCGCTAAATATTTTGTGAATACTCCAAATACTTCCTTATGATTTGTAGTAGTCCCTCCAATTCTCTTTATCACAAGAAAAATGTAGTACTCAATGACTCAGTATAGAGTTGTTTAATCCTGATTTCTCAGACAATGATCTAGGTGATGTTCATATTATGAACATCATTATGAGATGTTTATATTCATAATATTGAGAAGAAGTTGGTCATTGATTTGGATATTCTGTAGATATACAGAATTATTCCGAGACAGACTTTCAGATTCGAAACAGATTCAGACCCATATTCCGAGCCATAATTTGAATAATAAAAATAATAATATATTGCAAGCTACTAATAATCGATGTGGCACATCCACGTTCTGCGAGATTGAGCAAAGTTCATACTGTTTATGTAGTGAACTGAACCCTACTGTAGGGAGTTTCTACGTTAAGGGATTTGAGCATGGCCGTGATAAATATCTCAAAAAATAATGGAAATTATTAGAAACCACAAAACTGTCCGTCCAAAACTGGCCAGCCCATTGTGAGTCCTGGTAATTTTGGGCTAAATTGCCCCAGTTCTGCACCTGCATTAAATCCTCCCTAACATTGTTCATCCATCACACCCTTGGCTTTCCTATTGGTCGACGGTCCTCTGGTGTTTAAGTGAGTACCCTGCTTGCCACTCCCTCTGCCGGCATTCTCCACACGTGTCCTAGCCACCTCAGGCTCTGGGCTTTAATCCACGTTGATAGTTGTGGACCTTGTGGACCTTCCTGCAAAGCTCTTATCGTAGTTCATTTGTCTCGATCCTCCCAGGTTTGTATCATATTTTGGCCCATACATCCTTCATCTTTATTTGAAACCTGTTTTAACAACATTTTGTGAAGATTATTGAGTGTCCATGTTTCAGATCCATAGTTTACTATAGGGCCTATGAGCGTCTTGTACAGGGTGGGCAAAATTGCACACTTTTAAAAGAAAACTCCTCTTTCTATAAGAGATAGAGGAAAAATGATATCAGTGCCTGAAGCTCGATTGTTATAAGAAACTTAATGGCGAAAACCGCATATCGATCGAAAATAATCCACAGATATCAACGCGGCAATTGAGTGTAACCACGGGAAGTCCAAGAACCAAAGCTACGCAGATTTTGAAAAAAATCAGATTTAATCCATACAGTCCATTACTTCAGACCAGGAAATTTTGAATGGCGCATGAATTTTTGCCAATGGTTCTTGGGAAAATGTGACGAAGCACGCAATTTTTCTTTAAATTGTATTTTGACAGATGAAACGTATGTGAGTAATGCTGGTGCACAGCACAAATAAATATTTGAACATATTTAGGCAACAAATCGAACCTGTTGTTGACGATTTACCTCTAGCGCACCTTCGAAATGTAATTTTCCAACATGATTGTGCCTCACAATTGTCATCAATTTTTTGACCGCAGCTTTTAGTGATTGTTGGTCACCGGACCTAATACCTATGGATTTTTCTTTTGGGGAAGATTGAAAGATGTTATCTATAAACAGCGAATAAACTCCCGACAACAATTAGAAGCCGCAGTTGTTGCTTTTGCAACACTTAGGCCCATTCAGCTTATTAACTCATCAAACCTACTTTTTCAAAATCTGCACATATAAGTTTTAAAGTTGTATATTTTATTCTACTGTCCTTGGGGCGTTCCATTTAAAAAAATCATTTTTATCTCAACAACTTCTAAATTTTTGCTTTGAGGGAAAGCTAACTTATTCCATCGAATTCTACATAAAAAGTTGCTTTGGAAATGTTTTCACAGAAAGGAAGATTTTTCAATAAGAAAGAAGTTATGATGTTTTTCGAAAATGCCCTTTTTTGAAAATCGCTGCAACCGTAAGAGATCTCGATATGCGGTTTTCGTCATTAAGTTTCTTATAAAAATCGAGCCTCAGGCAGTGATATCATTAACTCTTATAGAAAGAGGAATTTCCCTTTAAATGTGTCCAATTTGGCCCATCCTGTACAGCCTTCCTTTACAGCCTCTTACAGCTGCTCTACTCCCTGCTAGTATTCGTGCCTTAATTTCACTATTAATGTTGTTACTTTGATTTATGATGGAGCCTAGATATTCAAACTCATTCGCTATTCCAAGGTCGTTACCTCCAATCTGGATATTTACAACTCGTTGTTGAGGTAATCTACGTCATGTTGCCATATATTTGCTTTTTCCTTCACTTATTTGTAGACTCAGGTGTTTTCCCACCATCGGGCTTCCTCTAACGCTACCGTTCTTCATTCAACCAGTGCAGGTTAATAGTATATTTTCGCTAATAAAATGTGAAATTTATACACTTATACAAATTTGTGATCTTTGTGATAATAAGAACGAATATCACTTTGTCACGTTGTCGTTTTGCATCCAACCCGTTTCTGATTGCTGTTTTGAGAGAGTTTGCTGTTAAACTCATTGTTGCAGATGACCAAATACTAAATGTGCATCCTCTCAGAGATACAGGTTGGCTTGAATTACTTCCTACACTATTCTGTCTAATTTTGCAAATATCTTTTTTTGATAATGATGCTCCAGCAGACTTCAACTCATTTATAATATGATGTAATACGAATATTTGAGAAGCAAAAAGTTCTGAAAACCATATAAACAATAAAAATCGAATAATTTCAAACAATTTATTAAATAATTATACTCTACAAAATATTTTTGTGTTTTAATTTATATTAAACATAGGATATCTCCCAAAAGCTTTTCTCATAGTTTCCATTCCTCTTTGTAACCCAAGCCTTCCAGCGTTTAATCCATTTGCTATAGCTTGTTGTGCACGTGCCATAGAACTTTGCACGGTCCTTTCCACTTTAGCCATCGTTTCCCTCATTTTAGTGTTAACAACAATGGTTGTTGCGCAATATTTCTTTCTTGAACCGGTTTGTGCTAAAATTGCGATACAAGGAAGAACGATTTTTTCTTCTTTTTTATTTTTGTTGGGTATGGTGGTTGTTAGGCAAGGTTTATTTCCGTTTTTAAATTCCGGTGAACATCCGGCAGTTTTTCGAATTGGCGTTACGCAGTAAGTTATTGTGCCTATGCATAATGGGCGCGTTTCTTTTAAACAATACTCAATTAATGGGCAGGTGTGTAAATCTTCGGGACGAAAATTTATTACATCTGAGGATATAAGCTTTCCAGAATAATAATGAACGAATATATATTCAAGTACGTTTGTTGTATCGGTGGTTCCAATAAAACCTGTGTTATAACGCACCGAAATTGGCGTTATAAAGTTGTTCATTAATTGTGCGTAGTGGGAAATTATTGAGATTTGACTGTCGTTATCGTAGTAATAATCATCGGTTAGCATGTTATTGTTATTAAAAGAATTAGTAGATAAATCCAGTACTAGATTATTACCGTTTGTTTTAATGATTTTAACGTTTCCTGAATTATATCCCATATCAGAACCGGTGTTGGACCCCATATAATTTATTGATGAAGATTGTACATTTCCGTTTGCATCCACTGATTGAAAAGTATGGGCACCTCTAGTATTTTTAAGAATATCGACAACACCACCATTATCAACACTTTGATAAGAATATACTTCTCCGGATCTTTTCCTTTTCTTCGCTTCCCCCAGTTGAGAAGCCAATAACAAAACAACCAACACTATCAATCGTGGCATTGTATGTTCAGTATTGCCATGAAATCATGGACTAAAAGACGAATGCTAAAAAGCAGTTAATGCGCAGTTACGGACTATAAATTTTAAACAATAAAAAATAATTAAAATTTTAATCGAGGATAAATCACGAGTGAGTTGGCAAGTTATAAACAACGCACTCAAAAATATATTATTCCACAAAGTTGATGTAATTGGATTTTCCGAATTATTGACTTAATCTTAACTGGTATGACCTCGGTTAAATAAAAAAATCAGTATGTTAATAACAGTCAACAAAGATAACAAACGTTTTATCATTAAACATATGCGGTAATTAAAATATCCGATGAAGTTTCATAAAGCAATTTAATTAGAACCCCCAAAATAATAAAATCATGGATAGGAAATTAAATTTGCAATTTTAAGGAGGTCACAAATCAATATCAAAATGAAATTTGCATACTAACACAATCCAATCGCAAGTCCCTCTATTCTTCATGCCACAAACTAGGATACAATCGATAAATCGTCCCAACTGGCGGGCTTTAAATGTTTAATATGGCAATAAACGAACCAGCAATCATCTGTGGGATACCTCACGACAGTGTGGTGTATTGTGGTGGGAAGGCATTTCACCTCTAACAAAGTAGAACCGGTTGTCCCAGCCAGTTCATCGTTACAACTCAACGCAGGTGTTTCCTTTCTATGTGTGACATAAAAGTTTCGAGAAGTGAAAAGAACTCGTGATCGTGACGTTTCAGTTCGAAGAAGTCGATTTATGTAATTGCCGAAATGAAGTTATACGCAATTTTAATCGTCTTATTAGGACTATCTTTAGTGGATTGCGCGAAGAGTAGGGGATCTAGATCATCCGCGAGAAAAATAACAACCAGAAGACCAAGTCCATCGAGAAACGTCAACACCACACCTTATCATAGAACGAATAACGTTGCTACTCAAGGTTATAATCATGGAAATGCTGCAAATAAAGCTACGACACCTAGATATAACATTCAAACTCACGCTACTGTAAGAAATTACCCTCAACAAACTTATAATCAACCAACTCAAGGTTATAATCGACCACAACAAGGTTATAATCAACCTGGATATAAACCGGGATATAATCAACCAAATTATCATCCCCCAAGCTATGGCCAACCAGGTTATCACCCTCAAGGTTACAATCAACCAGGATTTCCCGGTTATGGGGGATTTCCCGGTGGAGGTCATCAACCTTGGTATTATTCCAAAAAAGATCACTCCACAAGAAATTCAGTTTTAGCCGGATTAGGTGGTTCAGCTTTAGGATTATACCTAGGATATAAACTAGGAAGTATTGGAAATAATATAAACAGCCCTTTCCATAGTAATTATCCAGGTTATCCAAGTTACTCCGTTGTTCATCATTACCACCACGGCGATAAACCAATTCCAAAAGAATCTAACCTCGAATCTAAAGTGGTTTCGAAATGTGAAAACATCGGCGATTTTTGCACGAATAACACAACACCTTTGTGCCTAACGAACGGAACGATCTATTGTATGGCTCCTTTGGATACCACGATAACTTGTAAAATGAACGAAACCGAATATAAATGTATAAACTCGTCAATTTTAGTACCTTGCAACGATCAGCCTCAAAATACTTCTTGTACAAACACAACCTCGATTTCAATTCCGTGCATAACGACTATAAATATCTTTGGTGATTTCGCCACAAACACTTTAAAAATTCATAAACTTTCGAAACGTTCCGAAAGCGAAACGATGACGACAACAGAAGCTAATAACGTTACAACCGGTGTAGATGCAAACGTCACAAGTGAATCATCGAATATTACCACAACAACCAGTGCTCCTATTATGGTACGTGACTCACCGGAACCTTCATCCAGTTTAACTCATCAAGGAATCAGCAATAAATTTTGCGTAACAATCATAGCTGATCCAGTAAAACCACCGGAAATTACCAATAACATTGAATACCTTGAATACTTACAAGCAAACCCAGCAGAAAAAAAACAAGTTGATGAGAAAGTTGAAGATTTTTTTTCTAGAATTGTTAATTACATTTTCTATTAATATTAATCTCATTTGAAAAAAGGCGAATTTAATGAAATTGTGATATTTAGTATTCTCATTTTAATTATGATGTTTTTATTTATAATCTCGACCTTGATTTTTTAAATGAGCACTGTTAAAAATATTTGAAGCGTAAAGCAAATTCCTGTTGTTAACTACTACTATTATTATTATTATTATTATTTAGCAATTTTAAATTAAAATCTGTATTAGTTATGAATAAATACTTAAATATAAGTATAAATTATTTAAAAACAACTCACCTATATCATCAATACCTCTATCATGATCGGTCCATTCGGAAAACTGTAACAAACAATCCAATTAGAACTGGGACAAATACAAATCGCTTGCCAACATAAACATTTCATTTCAATTGATTGAGCGATACACGACGTGCAGACAATCTGTCCATCGGTTTCTCACTCTCCAAAATACATCTTCGTACATCGTCCATTGATCAATGACGAACAATGCTGTTTTAAACGAAGAAGAATTTTCAATTTTGTCTTTATAGTAAGGTAGAAAGTCCGGGAATTTTCCCGAACGAAAAGCGAGACTTAATTGAAATACTATAAAAACTTTTCTGTTGTCATAAAATAAAAAGATTTAATCAAATTTTTGTTTTAAATTCGTCATAACATTCAATTTAAACTTCCTGAATTAAACGTAATCACCAATTTATAACGCATTAGCAACTACACCATCAAGGTTTTTACATACATAAATAGCTTTTTGTTTTAAAACCTATACATCAAAGTTGATCGACACGAATATACATAACTATTTGATCAAAAAAATAAATGGAAATGCATTAAATCATATCGCATTTAGAAATTATTTCATAATATCTCCCCTTCGTATTTAATATTACCGGAGGCTAAATTCCCACCTGCCAATGCCAGAATTGATGGTCGACCCATCCCGTTAGTTGATTTATGCACAGATGAGGGTAAACGCTGACCACAACGAACAACAATCGAATTGCCACCTCCAATTATCGACACATTACGTGAGTGACCCTCCTCTATCGGACAATAGCTTTAAAGGGGGCAGTTGGTAACAATGGATCGAAGCTAACGGGGCACATCCTGAAGGAAATAACCATTCTCCACAGCAGGTGTGACAACCAATACCCACGTTTCCGATTGATGGTAAGTATGAAGGGAGAAAGTAGAGGGTCTCGGTTTTATGATACCCTTCGTAACGTTATCCTGTTACGGAGATTACGTGAAGATTTTTGGTGTTGTCGTTAAATAAAAAGATTTCGTGTAAAGATTTAAATTTAACGGTGTTAAGTTAACAACGATATTCATTTCAATTTAAAATTAAAAACTGCTGACATTATGGAGCAAAGATAACGTTATGACGAGTATTTACCTAATAAGTTGCTTGATAAGCTAAAATAAAGGCAAAAACAGTTTTCAATAATTAACTATCGATTAACACTTAATGGAATGTGAATTACAGCTGACTGAGCATTTTTGAAGTGAATTGGTCTTTCAAAAAAGTTTTGCACTTGCATTTTTGCATGTACTTCAGCATATCTTCAACTAAAATTATTAAGAAATGCCAATTTCCAAACACTTTTACTCTTCTTCTTTGTCTTCCCCAGCGTGCTCCTATCGTGGGGTTAGAGGATGGCCTCGGTTAGGGGATTGATAGCTGCTGACCTGGGTGAGAAGTTAACCATCACATTCGGTATGGATGTTATCCACCTGTTAATTTGTCGTCATCACCACCATAACATGACTCTTCACCTTGTTCAACTCTCCTTTAAAGTTTCTGACCACTTGAGTACAGACTGTTACAATTTAATTTCCGAGTTTGCATTGAGGACTACATCATCTGACAATGAGCAGAATTTTCCCAGATTTTGATAATCGATGCCAAAACTTATTAGACATTATGCGAATAGCTGTTGGAAATCTTCAAAGAAAGTTACGACGAGTTGGGATCTTTCAATAGAAGCCAAAGAATCATGTCATAATATCCTCTTATTCAGACATCGTCACGTCCTGTGCCTTATTCAGGCGCTCTGTCAAGTAGCAAAAACCGTTGCGTAACGCTTAAGATCGCAGTGTCATTCTCAGGTTTGTTCTGACTCTATGAGGTCAGGATTAGGTGAATTCTCTTTGAAAGAAGACCAAAAATCAACTGATTTCGTACTGCTTTTTCCAAGGAGTCACCGAACATGTAATTTATACTCAGCTTTTGTAGAGCGTGGCAAAATTTTTGAATCGTTTTTCCCTCTTTTTGTTTCCGGGATTGAAATCGACTTTCACACAACTTTCAATGGGGCCGTATTTCTTTATGTCAGGATTTTGTGGAGCCATTTTGTCACACAAAATGTCATATGCTTCCGCCCTCATGTAATGTATCAAATAAAATACCTTCACATCTGCAGGTGTCTTGAAAACCTTGAACGCTCCTTCTAACTTCCGGACCCATCTCACCCAGGTCGTTGTAGTTTGATTGAATGTAATATCATCTCATTCAGACGAAGATACATCCTGTGCCTTATTCAGGCGTTCTGTCATGTAGCGATAACCCATCCGCATCTTTCAATGTGGTTTTAGACTAAAATTGTGGTAGATCTCGATGATATTTCTGAATTCATACTCAAAAGTTAAGGATTTGCATTTCTGCATCCACCACAGCATATCATCAATTGAAATTATGAAGAACTCCCAATTTTCAAAGACTTGGAATATGAGCAAAACTTACCAGATAACTAATTTGGAAAAACCTGTTATGAATAGCGTTTAGTTGGGCATCTTCCAGTTGAGTTAGTTCACAGGTTATGACCTGCATTTTTACATTTATCGCATTAGTTAAACCACAAACTATATTTACCATAAAACTAGAACATTTTGATAACCAGTTTGGATATTCCTTGGGCATCTTCACTGTAAGTGTACGATTATGTGGTGATTATAAACTACTTTTTTCTGAGGTGGATTTATTGGTCCAATTGTTTGGAGTTGTAAACTGACGCACCAATAGCTTCAATTAGTGTCGTACTGTAATGCCAATCTATTCTAAGAAGTAGATTCTTCGGCAACCAGAATAGCTAGAAAATATGCAATTTTCGCCGATTAAGTTTTAATAATTCGTATAAAATTGATTTCTTGGAATATGAGTATGAAAACTTCCTAAAGTGTTAATAAAAGTGTCCTCTTTCCAATGAACCCATCCATTTTGAAAAATAACTTTTAGTTTTTGAGAAAACAATATTTGAAGTTTTGATAAAATTTTCGATGTTGCTATTTTCATCGATAACTTTCAAAATTCGCTATAAAATTCATTTCTTAAAGGATCCTTGTGGAAATATCACCAATTAATAACTAAAGTATCCTCTTTTGAATGCAACAAGCCGTTTTGAAAAATCACTTTTAGGTTTTGAGAAATAAATTTTTGAAATGATGGACAATTTTTTCGAATTTTGCAATTTTCCCCAATTAAGTTTTAAAAATTCGTATAAAATCAATTTCTTGGAATATGAGTATGAAAATTTCCCAAAGTGTTAATAAAAGTGTCCTTCTTCCAATGGACTAACCCGTTTTGAAAAATAACTTTTATTTTTTGAGAAAACAATATTTGAAGTTTTGATAAAATTTTCGATGTTGCAATTTTCATCGATAATTTTCAAAATTCGCTATAAAATTAATTTCTTGAAGGATCCTTGTGGAAATATCACCAATTATTAATTAAAGTATCCTCTTTTTAATGCAACAAGCCGTTTTGAAAAATCACTTTTAGTTCTTGAGAAATAAATTTTTGAAATAATCGACAATTTTTTCGAATTTTGCAATTTTCGCCGATTAAGTTTTAAAAATTCGTATAAAATCCATTTCTTGGAATATGAGCATGAAAATTTTCCAAAGTGTTAATAAAAGTGTCGTCTTTCCAATGAACCAACACGTTTTGAAAAATAACTTTTAGTTTTTGAGAAAACAATATTTAAAGTTTTGATAAAATTTTCAATGTTGCAATTTTCGTCGATAATTTTCAAAATTCGCTAAAAAATTTATTTCTTGAAGGATCCTTGTGGAAATATCACCAATTATTAATTAAAGTATCTCCTTTTTAATGCAAAAAGGCGTTTTGGAAAATCACTTTTAGGTTTTGAGAAATAAATTTTGAAATAATCGACGATTTTTTCAAATTTTGCAATTTTCGCCGATTAAGTTTTAAAAATTCGTGTGAAATACATTTCCTGGAATATGAGTATGAAAATTTCCCAAAGTGTTAATAAAAGTGTCCTCTTTCCAATAAACCAACACATTTTGAAAAATAACTTTTAGTTTTTGAGAAAACAATATTTGAAGTTTTGATAAAATTTTCAATGTTACAATTTTCGTCGATAATTTTCAAAATTCGCTAAAAAATTTATTTCTTGAAGGATCCTTGTGGAAATATCACCAATTATTAATTAAAATGTCCTATTTTTAATGCAACAAGCCGTTTTGAAAAATCACTTTTAGTTTTTGAGAAGTAAATTTTTAGGGCATCAAAGGGTATAATTTCAGAAGTGCACCAGAAATATTGGCAACAACCATAATGGCCGGATAGATATGCCGGATAACCGGATATCCGGCCGAATATCCGGTATTCGGCTTTTCGCAAAATCACTGTCAGTTCTATCACTAGTTATAAGGAATTGCTGATTATATATCAAATCATGCAATATTTTCCTATTCATTAGAGAAAAAGATGTAAAAAAAGTAAACTTTATGCATATTTTAAAAATAATGGTGTAGTCTCAGGTGCAGAATAAAAAAACACTTTCAAACGTAATAAATTTTCCGGAGGGGAAACAAAAAAATTAATCTCTGGCAATTGCTGTGTAAATAAAGCCCCGTGGCGAATAAGCCTGCGGTGTATCACATTGTTTACTAAACGCACGGTGGTCACAGGAAAAGCCACAGGACCTGTGACGTGACAATAAAGAAAATTATGTGTAACCCAATAGGGGAGAGCAGCAATTACGTATAATTGGATCGTCTCCAACGTTTGCCACTCGTTAATCTATCGATTCGGGAACGTCCCGAATCAATTACGGACCAATTAATTTAAAACCCATATTCGATCAGGTCGGTGATTGGCTTCGTACGTCTCTGGATGTCATCACTTGATGACCTAAATTGGAAAACTTTCCCTACAAATTAGTTCCGAAGGAGTCAATAGCCCAATTTCAATCTCAAAGAGGAAATAGCTAAAAAATATTATTGACTTGAAGGTTAATTTTCTTTTTTTTTTTTTTTGATAATATTTTTAAAGTTTTTACCAGATGCAAGAAACTT